GGATGTACATCCTTGTCTTTCATGACTTTGACTACTGCTTTCCAGCCCCTTCTTGCCTGGAAGGTTTCTTTTGAGAAATCAGCTGACAGTCTTACAGGAACTCCTTTGTAGGTAACTGTCCCCTTTTCTCTTGCTGCTTTTAAGATTCTCTCCTTATCTTTAATCTTCAGTAATTTAATTATGATGTGTCTTGGTGTGTTCTTCTTTGGGCCCAGCTTGTTTGGGACCCTCTGAGCTTCCTGGACTTGTTGCTTTTTGCCAGATGTCTGTTGCTTTTGCCAGATTGGGGAAGTTTTCTTTCATCATTTTTTCAAGTAAGTTTTCGGTTTCTTGCTCTTCCTCTTCTCCTTCTGGCACCCCTATGATTCGGATGTTGGAACATTTAAAGTTGTCCCAGAGGTTCCTAAGCCTCTCCTCATTTTTTTGAATTCTTGTTTCTTTATTCTGTTCTGGTTGACTGTTTATTTCTTCTTTTGTTGCAAGTGTTGATTTGAGTCCCGATTTCCTTCCCTTCAATGTTGGTTCCCTGTATAGTTTGCTTTATTTCATTTTGTATAGCCTTCGAATCTTCCTTCATTTGACAGCCATACTCAATCATTTCTGTGAGCACCCTGATTACCAGTGTTTTGAACTCTGCATCTGATAGGTTTGCTATCTCTTCGTCACTTAGTTCTTTTTTTGGTGTTTTGATCTGTTCTTTCATTTGGGCCATATTTCTTTGTCTCAGTGCACCTGTTACTTTGTAAGGGGCCGAGCCTTGTGTAATCACCAGGGCTGGGCAACCCACTTCACTGTGTTATGGTGCTCTGTGTGGGGGAGGGGTCAGAAAGGGAACAATGCCACTTGCTGGCTCTCACCCTGCTTTCAGTCACTTCCCTTGCTACCTGCAAGTTAATTGGACCCTTCTGGTGCTTGCTGGTAGGTGGGTGTGTGTACATTCTAGGGCTATGTGGGTCCCTCCTATGGACTCTCTTGTGAGACTGTGAGTTTCTCCCACTGCTGCAACCCCTACAGGTTTTTACAGCCAGACATTTTGAGGCTTTATTTCCCCATGCTGGAGCCCTGGGTTGCGCAGTCTGTCTCGCTTCCCTGTTGTTCCTCCCATTTATCTGCATGTGAATGTGGGCCCACCCGGTCCTCCAGGTGCAGCCTTGCTGTGGGTCCTCTCCACCCCAGCTGCCCATCTCTGCCCTGCCCACCAGTCTGGATGAATGCTTCTTCTTTAATTCCTTGTCATTGGAATTCCATACAGTTCGAATTTCTCACAGTTTTGGTTGGGTTTATTTTTTTAAATTGATTGTTGTCCTTCTTTTGGTTGTGCAAGGAAGCAAAGCATAGTCTACCTATGACTTCATCTTGGCTGGAAGTCAGCATGGCTATATTCTTTTGGTTAGAAGGAAGTTATTCAAGGGAAGGAGATTACATAAGACCATGAATACCAGGAAGTGGGGCGCTTTGGGGCCATCTTGGTAGCTGTACCAAAACTGTCCTGGAACCCTCCCATGAGTTTTGTAAATTACTCAATATCTTTATAATACTTTTTTTTTTTGGCTTCAGCTAACCTGAATTGGTGACTTGTTTTCATTCAGACCAATATACAGATGTTTGTTGACTTAAGATGGGGTTACAACCCAATAAATCCTTTGTAAGTTAAAAATATTGTTAAGTGAAAATTTAATACATCTAACCTACTGGACATCATAGCTTAGCCTAGCCTATCTTAAATGTACTCAGAACACTTAGAGTAGCCTGCAGTTGGGCAAATATCTTGAGTTTCATCTCAAAAGTAATTGCCTTTCTCTTCTCACCAGAAACAGGAGACACAAGATGGGTATTGTGTAGACTTGATGGGGTACAAAAACGAAAACAAAAATCCAAAAGCTACTGGCAGCCCAGTGCACTGTGTTGAGTGTTTTTCCTTGTGATCTGTGATCACATGCCTGACTGGGAGCCTTGGCTCATTGCCTCTGCCCAGCATCATGAGGGAGTATCGTACCACATATTATGAATGCAAGAAAAGATCAAAATTTAAAGTACAGTTTCTACTGAGTGCATGTTGGTTTTGCATCATCATAAGGTCTAAAAATTGTTAAGTCAAACCATGGCCAGTCAGGGACCATCTGTACTTGCCCACTGTTCTGTAATTTTGTGAATCTGGTTTCTATTGATCTAGCTCCTTTCTCTGTGAGTTATTGACACTACTAATTGTTCCTTTTTATTTTTCAAAGTTATCGGTTCTGTATCTGAATACTTTACTACCCCAGAACCAGTTGGCCAGCATTTATCAAAAATTAGTTTGGATGTTAATCTTCACAAAGATCGTAGAAGAGAGATTAGGAACCTCTCAAATTAGCTTTATCAAAGTTGGAGAACTGAGTCCTATTAATGGAACAGCTGATAAATTCTTATATCCAAACCAAGGCTTTTGCAGTTAATCCTCATTTTGGCTATGACCCAAAGGTTGTTTTCTTCCTTAGAAGTTCTGCAGAATTTTAGTATCAGAAATCCAGTGCCAATGAGCTTATATAAGAAAAGAGAATTTATTGTTTCACATAACTAGGAGAACTACTGGGGAGGCTCACAGGGTCAAAAGAAGAACTACAGAGCTCCAGGACCTGCAGCCAGTGGCTCCAGCCACACAGCTCTCACTGATGCTCTTGCTGACATTTCTATCACCTTTGTGTCTCCCTTTCTTGGCCTCCTTCCTTACTTACAATTGTGTCTCTGTATGTGACCTTTAGTTTTTCAGCCAGAAGAGAAAGAAGAGTTGGGTCAGGTCCTTAGTCTCAATGCCAGGAAGATGGGGTACTAAGCCAGGCCAGAAGAAGGGCCATGAAAAACTACTGCTCGGTACAGGCCCCAACTCAAGCCCATTTGTCAGTGCCCCTCCCCCCGCCCCCAAGGCATGGACAGACCAACCATGTAAGTGATCCCTGAAATAGTCAAAATTCCAAAAAGGAGAAGACACTGCCAGCATCTGTAGTGAGACCCTACCCAGAAACTGTGGATTGGAGGAATTTTTTTTTTGGCCAATAGTTTTCATGGAGTCTTAGTGTTCATTTCATTGCACCCAAGGTCCAGTGTCTTAGACCACTGGTAAAACAAGGTTACACTGAATTTTGCCAGCAATGATTTCACTTGTTCCCTAACTACTTGACAACTGAGAAAAAATTACTGATAGAGATATGAAGGCCAAGGATGACATGGAAAGTTGTTGCCCAGTTCATGGGTCTAGGACCAAGGTTAAAGTATATTAACAAAACAGGCCAGAGCTTTTCCTTTACTGCCACTTTCTATGACTTCTGAGCAGATTGTTGAATTTTGTTTTTAACCTTTCAGGTGAAGAATGATCTGTCAGGTTTATGAAAACCATGTGCATTCAGAGGCTTATCTTAGTGTGTTTAAACTCATGGGCTCCTAGGTCTTGATCTTGGATTGAGATCAAGATCAGTCAGACGTGGCTTTTGGAAGTAATATTGTGCTTCCTTTAAATGTGTGTAGTGAGACTGAAGGTACCGTAGTAATTCTTCCAAGGACGTACTACAGTGGGCTTCCTGTAGGGAGCTCGTCCTGATCTGGGACCATTCACAGTTGCTCGGGGATGTACACACTGTTAGCTGATCACTGTTCTTTGGCAGTTCTTTATGGAGGGCCCTGAGTATGCTAATTGCTAGAAGGAATGGTGTAGAATAAACTGCCTCATTCTACCTACTTATAGCCTGGTTTAGGGCTCTACCACCCAGTAAAGAAGCAGCTCACTTCTAAATTTAGATTGGGATCCAATATTAAGAATGGTAGTGGGGTGTAGGAAAGTGAAGATAAAACCTACCTGATATCTCCCAGAAGCAAAAGGGTGTGTAAAGGGCAGGAACTCAGTTCTTGGTTCAGACAGATTTGGGCTTGACTCTTAGCAAAGACACCCCTTGGCTTTGTGACATTCAGAAATTAGTTAACTTCTTCAAGCCTCTGTTTTCTCATCTGTAGAATGGGGCTAATAATAACACAAACCCAATGGGATTGTTTGATGTGTTTTAATAAGACAATCCAAGGAAGACCTTTAGCATCATATAGGCATATTGCTTGAGAATCACTATGGTAGTTGTAATAACTTCAGGAATCATGATTTTTTGGGCCCACCTCCCACGATACACATAGAACTCCTCCCAAGTCTCCATACACAGAGCAAACCACCACTACCACCTGTGGGGGGCATGGGGTCTCTGGCAGAGACTTTAGAATCAGGCTAACTTGGATTTATATGTAGGATTCAACTCTCAGAGATCCATTCCCCCAACTGTAAAATGAGTAAAATGATATAGTAACATAGGTTGTTAGGGTTACAGATAATAATAAGCTCCACTGCAGGTTGGCTTTTAAAAAATTCCTCATCTGGCCATCTTTGCCAGCCAGCCGAGGTCATAGTAATGGTTTAAGTGAGCATCTCTAGAAGACAATCTCAGTTGTCCCTGATGTCAGTTTTTTTCTTACTGGTCCTGAGCCAGACTTCTTTGCTTTTTGATCTGGCCTGATTTCCTCTAAATCAGGGTCTGTGGAGCCATAATAATGGGCACTGCCACTTGGAAATATGATCTTCATATAATTCATCATGGCATGGGTGCCAATTAAGAGGCAACAGAGAGATCAATCTCAGCCACACTGAGAGTGGATGTGTAAGACTGAATTATAAATGCACACTAATATAGTTGTGATTTTTGCATCAAGACTGGCAAGAAACCTTAGCAAATAAAAGATTTGTTTGATATAGAAAAAATGATGTTCAAAGGTCACAGTTTCTTGGGAAAGTTCTCTCCACTTCTGTCTGATACTGGAAATCTACAAATCAATAAAAAGTGCATTTTCCCCAAGTTACTGATTCTTCACATTGCAGATTCTTCCCCTGACACCATTTCATATGGGTCCCTATTCAGGAGGAAAAAGGCATGGGTGTGTTTAAAAGCTTGATGACATCTGCTGACATTCTCCCTGCTTGTGTCTTGCAGCCTACTTCTGCTTCCTCCTGACTGCTCTGGGTGTGACAGCTGGCGCCCATCGCTTGTGGAGCCACAGGTCCTATAAGGCCAAGCTGCCTTTGAGGATATTTCTGGCTGTTGCCAACTCCATGGCTTTCCAGGTAGGAATGGAGTGGACATTCCTCCACAGACATTCTAGGCTCCGTGCTCAGGCTTCAAACGCCCCCTGCCTGTCCCACATTTTATTTCCTTGCAGCTTTACATACTATAAAATGTCACCTGCGTACTTCATGGCTCAAGGCACGCAGAACTATAGAGGAGGAAAGGAGATTGCTCCTTCCAGAATTCATGCCCTCATTGTGCCCTGAAACCCTCCACATTTGTCCAGCTCTAATAGGAGCCAAGTTTGGTGCTGAGTATGCTGTATGCTTATTGCATTTGATCCTTGCACTAACCGCATGGGTTAGGTGTTACATATGCTCCCATTTCACAGATGAGGAAACTAAGGCTTAATGAAGTTAAAGAATGTATTCAAATTATATGACTTAAAAAATGAGCACCTCGGATAGGCAAATGCAGGTCTGATACAAAGCCATCACTCCTACAATACACATTCCTGAGGTCACCCTCTAAGTTCGCTGTGGAAAGCCTATTCAGTATGGAGTTGGAAGACTCAGGATTCGAGTCTGACGGTTGCTAGCTGTGAATCGCTTACTCATCTCCAGTTTTTTTATCTTTGTTTTTAAAAAATATTTTATTTATTTATTTTTAGACAGAGGGGAAGGGAAGGAGAAAGAGAGGGAGAGAAACGTCAGTGTGTGGCCACCTCTCGCATGCCCCCCAGTGGGGACCCGGCCCACGACCGAAGCATGTGCCCTGACTGAGAATCGAACCGGCGACCCCTTGGTTCTCAGGCCAACACTCAATTCACTGAGCCACACCAGCCAGGGCTCCAATTTTTTTATTTGTAAAAATACAGAGGTGACCTCACTCCCAGAGTTGTGAAACAATTAGAAATTGAAAGGCACTATAAAAATGTAAAAGGGAGTCCCCGCTTCACCAGCACTGGGCTATATTTTTTAGGGCTGTTCCAGTCCTAGACCATTTCCCACCACCTTGGTCGCTTTCTGAGCTGCTGGGTTTTTGGATTGATCATGGATCTCTGTTTTCCCAGGCAGGGTGAGTGGGAACAACTTGTTTTCAAAGTTTTTGACCATATATGAGTGCAAATGATTCCAGACCCTGTGAATTTTCACCCATTGGGAAGAAACAGCAATTCCCAAACGTGCTTTAGGGTCAAAGGAAACAAGTGACCCAGGATCCCCTCTGTGACCCTCAGACAAGCAAGTCGCGTGACCACTTCTGCAATGAGCCTCCCATCCCTACAAGACAGCCTGGTCCTAAGCATTTTTCTAAGCTCCTCTTGTGTCTAAGAATTCAAATGCCTGTTTCAGGCTTCCCTCCTACAGTCTGAGTATTCATAAAGCAAATACAACCTAACAATAGATCCCTTAGAGAACACAATTCATATTCTGAATACCTACTGATTATAATTCAAGTGTAGTCGGGAATTAGAAACAGGGTCCTAGGGGAGAAGCTGCTGTGCACAAAGGAGTAGTTGGCAGCTTCTTGGTCGCATGTTTTGTTCATCACTGGTGATGTGAACTAGACTGCACTTTATTTTGACTTCAGCCATCTTAGTTCAGTGTTGCACTTTGTTTATCTTAACAAGAAACTACGATAATGAGAATTTAGAAACTCATTAACTTAGGTCTTGTATGCTATTTAGGATTAACTCAGTAATTTTCATTTACTTTGTTCAAGCAATTTATTACTTTTAGCCTCCAATTACATACTTGTATGGTTATAAAGCACCTCTATTATTGAAATTTTTTTCCAACATCAATAACTTGAAATTGAGAGCATAAACCTTTTTTCCCAGTGAAATTATTTGTTTGTAACTCAATTTTTGAGAACCTATGTTTCCTTTACAAAATATCCCATAACAGAACATCACATGGTGATTTTAAATTTACTTTGGTGAGAAAAGTACATTGTGGACACGGGTCCTGGAATAAATTCTTGGCCCTGCCATTTGCTAAATATGGGCCTTTGTGCAAGTTTCTGTTCCTTCATGTGCAAAGCGGGGAGGGCAATAATACTTACCTCACAGAGTTGTTGGGAGGATGAAATAGGAAATAAAAAGTACTCAGACTGTGAAGTACCCAGAGGCACTCAGTGAATATCATTCCCCCTCTTCTTTATTAGAATGAGCACATCATCTGATTCATGTCTGTATTTTAGTGCCTCTCATATAGAAAACACTCAATGATTGTTTGTTAAATGAATCAATAGTTTCAAAAAGCATTTTTAGGAATTGTCAAATTTGAACTATGCCTACATCTTCCAGGGCCACAGATAAGTATTGAGCCCCTGCTGTGTGGCAGGCACTGAACTAAAAGCACACTGGGTTTAATGATTACCAAACACAGTCACAATACTTGCCTTCATGGAACCTTCTGTCTAGTGGCATATTAGAATCCCCACAGTTTCGCAGTGGAAATGTCAGTGCTCTGTGGGCCTGGGGTTTTAAAACAATGTCACTTAGAAGGTAAGGTCAGAATAGGGCCAGCTCCCATATAATGTATAACTGTCAGAAGGAAATAGTGCAGTTGACCCAGACCATTTATCTTTAGGAAGAAAACCACCTGGGAATGTAAAAATGTGCTGTGATCTGCCAGTCTAGGGTATTGACCTATATCCCTGACTTAATGTAAAGTCATTGATTTAGTTTCCCTTAGATGTCCCTCTGGGTGTTTAAAGATAGTTTCAAAGGTTCTTGTCTGCTTTCTTCCATCAGAATGGTCATGCCTTTGGCCACAATGGACAAAAAGCCCTGAGGATCATGAGGACTTTTGCTAGATGCTTCAAACAAGATCTTGATCATCAAAAACAATGTTCTAAAAATTAGGACTGAAACATTTGAAATTCCCTTTTCTCTTTATTTTGTAGAGGATGCATGTGATGTGCAGGGGGCGGTAGTGGGAAAGGTGGAGGTACTTTTACTATGAAAAGATGTCTCTCTGCTATTGTCTCTGGGTTTTCCTAGAGACTTCTTCTTAAATAGGGATTAAGGCCTTCAGTTCTTTCCATTGAAAATCTCTTGTTATTATTCAGGAGCCCTGTTGATGTGGAGATAACAGGCGAGTGCTCCCTATTCCCATGATTAGGTTTCAGACTTGGTGGTGAGCCTTCCCACAGTCAGTCAGGCGTTGGTAAAACCCAGTTGATAGGCACTGGTAAAACAGTTTCTCTTGAGGACAGATCTTGCTAAGGAAAAGAGAGCTGTACGCAGAGCTCCCGTTTCAAAATGGTTACTTCTTTCCTTTTCTTGCTAGAAGAGCAAGGGGATTTTCCCAGCTATTCATGCTGAGAACTTGGTAGGGCCCCTGGAGGTAACATTCCTGAATGTGCGGAGCCCACTGCGATTGAGCGCTCTAGGAGTTTCTTACTCTCAAGCTTGTCCACAGTAACTCATCAATTAAAGTAATTCATCACTTAGAGTTTAAAAGTATCCCTACCCATTTAGGCTTTTGCTCCTGGGCCTCTGCTTGTAATAGGCTGCAATTCCCTATACTGTCTGTCTGTTTCTCTAGTTTTGGGGACAGCAGCTTGCCTGTGACCTCATTTCTCAGATGGATCTGAGAGTTGTTGATTTTCAGTCTGGCTTTTTTTTCCCCTTGTTGCCAGGATAGGAGTGACTACCTCCAAGCTCTTTGCATGTCAGACCAGAAAGTGGAAGTTACAGTGTGACTGGTGAATATGTCAGGTAAATAACATGGTCATGGACCATGAACCGTGGCAGGTATTTAACAATAAAAACAATAACAGTTGTTGAGTGCGAACCACCGGCCAGCATTTCACTAGATACGTTAGCTATCTGGTAATACTCTACCAAGTGGATACTGTTGTTGTCCTTATATGACAGGCAATATCAATAAAATTGAAAGAGGCTATGTAACCTGACCAAGGACATACAGATTTAAGTGACAGAAGGGGGATCCAAGTGTAGGCAGCTTGACTCCAGAGGACGCCCTTTCACTGATGCTCTAACTCCTCGTCCCAGCATCAGGGTGTGCATTTATTCTTTCATTTTGCAAATAAATACACACATGCTAAATGTTGTTGCTTGCCCTGGAGAAGGAGACAGACACAGTCCCTGTCCTCATAATGTGTACCCAAATATTGCAGGGGGAGAGAGAGTGAATCAATAAGCAAGCATAAGGCCTTCCGTTCTTTCCATTGAAAATCTCTTGTTATTATACAGGAGCCTAAATTCTTCATGTTCTCATGTTCTCATGAAGAATTTAAACATGGTAACATGATGAAGGGTAAAAGAGAGACAGCTTCTTTAGAGAGAATCATCAGAGAAGACCTAACTGAGCAGATGACATTAGAGCGGAGACCAGAGGAGGAGAACAGGTCAGGGAAGAGCATTCCAGATGAAAAGAGGAGCCAAAGCAAAGTGGGAACAAGGATGGTGAGTTCAAGGAAGACAAGAATGGCCAGTATGGCTGGTCCACGTGAGCGTGGGAGATGGTCATGGAAGAGGCCAGGGAGGGGAACAGGGGCACACCAGTGCAGGACTGTGAGGCATAGCAAGGAATTTGGGTATTTTTTTAAAGCCATGGGGAAGCGCTGCAAGGTTTCAGTCAGGGGGGTGACATGACCTAATATATTCCAGGGGCACAAGGAAGCCCCAGAGCAGTCATGAGAGGCCAGAGGTTTCCGTGCTAGATACAGGCTCACAGAGCAGCCCCCACTGCTGGGTCTCTTTGGGTGTGCGTGTCCAGCAGGGAGACTTGACCATTAGGCCGTGCTGTTGAGGACAGCTGGGGTGTTAGCAACAGCCTGTAGTAGGCATTGGTTAGGAGAACGAAACATCAGATGGAACACTACTGCAGGCTCGAGAATCCATAACCTTACGGGGTGGTCTGTGCAGATTCCAGCCCTCACTGCAGGCATTATGTTTCAGTATTTGCCACCTTTCCTAACCATGAGCCTAAGCTTCAGAGGTACAGCCTTTTTTTCGGCATAACCAGGTTCGCCCTCCTCTTTTCAGCATGGGTGGATTCCTTCTGTGTAAACAGGCAGCAGGAGA